TTTCGGCACAGTGAGACACTTTTATCAGTCAGTGAGTCGCTCTTATCAGTTAGGGTAGTGGAAACCCTCCCAAAATCCCAGATACCAGCCAAGGGCCAACCTTGAGAAATAGGACTTTCTAAGGATAGGAAGTCCAGGCCTGCACACACACACATATGGGGTTATTCAGAGAGATTTCAGAAACCCTGCCACCGCTGTAACAACTAACTTTTCAGAGTCTTCGAGTTAAAAGGATTTTAAGCAGGACAAATATGTTCAGATTTCCAGTTTTGAAGAGGTTACTGCTGCAGCAATGTGAAGGATGGATAGTAAGCTACTGAGAATGGAAGTGGGCAGTACCTCCAGTGATAGTTGATTAGTGCTTGAGACAAGACACTGGGACTTAAGAAGAGGGAGGGGATGGGGATGCCTGGGTGGCTCAGATGGTTAAGCATCTGCCTTCGGCCCAGGTCATGATCCCAGGGTCCTGGGATCAAGCCCCACATCGTACTCCTGGCTCAGCGGGGAGCCTGCTTCTCCCTCTCCCTCTGCCTCTCTCCCTGCTCATGCTCGCTCTCTCTCTGTATCTCTGTGTCTCAAATGAATAAATAAAATCTTAAAAAAGAAAAAAAAGAGGGAAGGGATGGAGTTGAAGGGATACTGTATATATTTATGCATGTGTGTGTATGTGTGTGTGTGTCTGTATGTCTATATACACACGTATAGTATCTGTTGTATATATAAGTATAGTGTCTAGTATATATATGTATATATACATATATATGTATTTAGGTACATACATATTACAGATTATAAAGCTATAATAAAATATGAGTGGATATTCTTATCTCTGTGAAGGTAAGGCTTCTCTAAGTATAAGAACAAAGTTATAAGTTAGGGAGACAGACATGATAAATTTAAATGCATAAAAACTTAAAAGTCTGACAAATAGCAATCTTTTAAAAAATTAACAAAATTGAAAGGAAAATGGGGAAATATTTATACTTATGAGAGCTTTAATGTCCTTATTATAGTAAGATCAATTGCAAATTAGGATTTAAAAAAATCTTAATAGCCCAATGGAAAATAAGCAAAGTAGATTAATGTGTAATTCATAAAAGAAGGAAGACAGATGGTCACTTAGTATTTTTCAACCAAGAACCTTTAAAGCATGAACAACAGTGAAATACAAATTCTTTCATAAATTAGCAGATTTTAAAAATGATAGGTAGTTAGGATACTTGGAAATTGGAAATAACCTAAGTGTCCAACATTAGATTATTTAGATAAATTGATATATATTCATGTATTATCCAGCTGTTGAAATCATGTAGTAGAAAGTATTAGTGACAGTGCTGACTTTATAATAATAAAGTATGATCCCAGGTTTTCTGTTTATACTTACTGAATACACACAAACATACATTCACACAGAAAAATATTTAAACAATAAAACTAAGACTTATTTACAACAAAACTAAATGTTAACCAGTTTTTTTTGTGGGTGGTAGGATTGTAGATTTTTTTTCTCTCCTTTTGTGTGTGTGTTTAAGATTTTATTAAAATATTTGAGAGAGAGAAAGAGATAGTGACAGTGATAGCGAGAGAGAGCACAAGTGGGAAGGAGAGGGAGAAGCAGGCTCCCCACTGAGCAGGGAGCCCTACATGGGCCTGGATCTCAGGACTCTGGGATCATGACCTAAGCTGAAGGCAGACACTTAACTGACTAAGCCACCTGAGTGCCCCATGTTTTGTTTTTTTATTTCAAACATTTATATTTGAAAACTATGGGACCAACAAACTGTGACCCAGTAGCTGACCATTATTTTTGTAAATAAAGTTTTATTGGAACACAGCCATGCTCATTCATATTGCTTTTGCTGTACAACAGCATAAAATATTTACTGCTTGGCCCTTCAAGAAAAAGTTTGCCAACCCTTGATCTATAGTGAGTGATGTACTTTTTATATTTAGAAACATATATTTCTCCACAAGCACATACACTCTTACATAATAATAATGTAAGAAAAAATGGCATTGCTGCTTTTAGGGATGTTTTTCATAAGGTTCTTGGCAATATTTTTTTTTTTTCCTTAGAAATGGTTTGAATCTGGAACCAGGTGTAGGGGCTTAATAAGTGCTGCTGGTACTAACATGTATTATTAGTACTTATTTTAAATATAATTTAGTAGATTAATAGTTCATTTATCCGGGTCATTGGATAGTCTTTTAATGATACTCTAAAGACATGATGATTTAATAGCTGTAGAAAGGTCAGAAATGTATCAGAGAGATAGAGGGGAGCCATTTAAAGAAATCAGTTTGGCTACTTAAGGGTCTTTTAAAAAAGTATGTGTAAAAGATGGTCAAATGGGTACATATACAATGAAGAATGAGTCATGAGCCCGTGAGAATAGTGGCGGCTACAGCTGTGTACACGGCTCTGTGCAGAGATTCTGTTTAATTCTTAGAAGAACTTTGACTGGAAAATAAGAGCGTTTTCTGTCTTGTAGATGAGAACACTGAGGCTTGGAGAGTTTAAGTAATTTACCCAAGACCCTGCAGAGTTTGGCAGGGAGAGAGGCAGAGGGAGAGGGAGAAGCAGGCTCCCCGCTGAGCCAGGAGTACGATGTGGGGCTTGATCCCAGGACCCTGGGATCATGACCTGGGCCGAAGGCAGACCCTGCTTGAATGAAGATTGGTGGTTATTGTTAGCCTTTTTTCTTTTCTTAAATAAGGTTGCCAAATAGGTCCACAGACCATGTATGAAGCAATATTTGGAATGTAGGTTTTGACTTAATCAAGAAATGCATTTTTAACTATTTATAAAGTTTCATTATATGAAATAGTAAGCTCCTTTTTCCTTGCTATATTCAAATAGATTCTGGATGACCACCTTCCAGTAGGAATCCTGTGGCTAAGAGGTTGAATTTTATGTACTTCGAGGATCTATGAGGTCTATGTTTTATGGTGTTAGTTTTTTTTTTTTAAGTTCTGCTTGTGTATTTAATCTAAATTTAGATTATATGAAGGACCATAACTATATAAACTCTTTTTTATTCTTATGTTAATCCCCATTATATAAACTCTTAATGTGCTACAGAATTTTTTAAAAAATTAATGTTTTGCTAGGTTGATATGTGACTATAAACATCGCAATTCACTAAGGATCTCTGTGTCTTTTTTTTTTTTTTTTCCTTTTTAGAGAGAGAGCTTGGGGATGGAGGGAGGGGCAGAGGGAGAGAGAGAACCTCAAGCAGGCTCCATACTCAGCATGGAGGCTGATGCAGGGCTTGATCTCATGACCCTGAGATCATGACCTGAGCCAAAATTAAGAGTCGGACACTTAACCGACTAAGCCACCCAGGCGCCCTCTATGTCTTTTATATAGTCAAGGTCCAAGTAGTTTATTTTTCCTTGAGTGTAGACCAGAGGAAAGATTTTTCTGTTGGAATGGATATACTTTTCCTCAACAAAAATGGAAAACACAAGCCGATGTTTTCTCTTTGTACTTTAACCGTCTGAAAATGAGGAGCCATATTTAATGCATGACCATAGTAATTATCTCATGTTGGGGTGTCTGGTAACAAATACTCCTTTTGTTTCCTTAGACAGAATTTGTTTTGTATTAATCATAAATATTTTTGTTGTTGAGGGCTGATATATATTATTTTGAAACATCTTAGAAGTAGGTAGTATATGAGTTTTTAATATATAGAAGCTAGTGGTTTCTGAGTGGTTTCTAGTGGTATATAGAAGCTTTTGGAGTATAATAGATTAAACCAGATAGAACAAACAAAAAACCTTCAGATTTGACTTTTGTTTTGTGCCAGATTTATCTGGGACCTATATGTATAGCTACTCTCAGCCTACTAGAGCCTGATTCATTGCTTTATTTGGAACTCTAACTTAACTCTTTGAAAACCAGTTTCCCGCTCTTGCAGATTCTACTATTAATTTCTATACTTATATTGCTGTTTCTGTGCAGGGAAAAATTAGCTTAAATGTAAGATACTTAATCCTCAGCTCAGTAAGTGATAATATCAACACAAGTTTGAAAGCAACATTTTAGTAAAAGTAGATAAAATTCATCTACTTTACTTTACTCAAACTGGATCTTTGTTTATTCCGATCCAGCAGAAGCTAGAAAGAGAGAATGTCTCCACTGCCCCCAGGGATGAGTGTTTAGAGAAAGGCCAGTATTGCCCTCAGGCTGATGCTTTTGAAAGAAGGATATAGTCCATCCCCAGTCTAGAGTGTTGTCAGTTCTTTGTGGTTTACTTAATTTTTTTATTATGCTTCAAGTGCTAAATTGCCAGTGCATCAAATGCCCAGATTCAAACAAATATATCCAAATATCTAAAATATATAGAGGGCGCCTGAGTGGCTCAGTCGGTTAAGCGGCTGCCTTCAGCTCAGGTCATGATCCCAGGGTCCTGGGATTGAGCCCACATCAGGCTCCCTGCTGGGCAGAGAGCCTGCTTCTCCCTTTCCCTCTGTCTGCCGCTCTGCCTACTTGTGCTCTCTCTCTATCTCTGTTAGATAAATAAATAAAAAATCTTTAAATAAATAAATAAATAAAATATGTAGAGAAAATAAATTTGAAATATTGCTTATTCTCTGCCAGTGTTCTCTGATACTTATAAATCGTGATTTGGCTGTGATTAGCTACTGGGCCTTTTATTATGGTAGATATTCCTAAGCCTGATGAGTTAATGTAGTTAATCTCAACATATTATATTTTTCCTCTACAAAAGGGGAGGTTGAGGTAGCTCTATTCCAAGATAATAAAATCATGACAAATATTTAATTACTAGAATATTGGTATGTATTAGGATCATCTTATAGCCCACTAAGTGATTTTTATGGTTGTCATAGTTGAAACCTCTTACTCTATGAACAAGAGAAGTCCTAAATCCCCTGTGAATAGTGTGGTTGACTGTTGCCATCATTTATATAGTTTATATAAAATGTTCTTATGAATGGTTACAATTGCATAAAATTTATTCTTATTTTTATAGTCTGTTCGGCACTTGAAGTACTCCTTGTTTAAGAAATCACTACTGGGCAGTGTTTCGGATAACGGAATAGTAACTCTCTGGGATGTGAATAGTCAGAGTCCATACCATAACTTTGACAGTACACATAAAGCTCCAGCTTCAGGCATCTGTTTTTCTCCTGTCAATGAATTGTTATTTGTGACTATAGGCTTGGATAAAAGAATCATTCTCTATGACACTTCAAGTAAGAAGTAAGTGTGACACAATCATTTCTTAATTTAGTGACAAATAACTATTATCTCATTAGCAGACATTTGTGATTTGCATAGACCTCTCTAAAGTTGTGTGCTTGATATCTAGAAGGATAGAATTTTCTCTTTCTTCCCATGCAGAAAAAAATACATGAGATGCGGATATTCTTTAGAGTACATCTGGATGTTGAATGTTGAGGATAGCATGTTAATGATTGCACATCTTTATTTTAGCATATAGGCATAGTATTCTTTTTCAGAAATACAACTAAATATGTATATTTTAAAAGCAGTGTGATTAATTTGCTTTAAAATTAATTCATTATCAAGAGCAGAGTTTCTAAACTGTTGACATTTTGGGCTGGATAAATCTCGTTTGTGGGGGGCTATCCTGGGCATTGTAGAATATTCAGCAGCATCCCTGGTCTCTATCCACCAGAGGCTAGTAGCACTCCGCATATTAGAAAAAGTAGCAAAATTGCCCCCAGTTGAGAACCACTGATCTAGAGCTAAAGGGTACATAATCTTCTAAGTATCTGGGTCCATTGTGCCTTCTGGCTTTCTTAACAGTTATAGGTGTGCTTGGTTAGCTATAAAAAAAAATGGTACAAGAGTGCTACAGGTGTATTGAAGACACCTAGCAATATCTAAAGATTGTATGGAAGAAAGTGGTAATGTTATGACTAGGGAAGGACTTTTTGTCAGCCCTTGTTAAAGTTTACTGTTACTTGTTTTACTTTCTTCTTTTTTAAAAATTTTTCTTTTTTATTCTTTCTTTTGAACTTTACTGAGAACCTTAAGAGTCAGTAAGCATTTCTCTCTTATACCAAATAACTGTGGCAAAGAGCTCAGCTTCAGCAGTTCAGTATCCATATTTCTATATTAGCTTCATGAGGATCAAGCCACATGGATTCTGTTAGCTTTCTGGTCAAGAAATGCACAGCTAAAAGAGCAAAGTAGCAGCTGCTCCCCTGCGAAAGGTCATAGTCCTCTTGAGACCTGAGCAGATCAATAAATGGAAAGGGGATGGTTAGGGCCTCCTTAATCCTGAGACTAGAGCCCTTGTTTGTGGAATAACACTCAGGAAGTTTGTCATGTTCACTGTCGAAGTAGTAATTACTCAGAGAAATAGTTGCTGCTTCTAGATGATGTAGAACGTACCTATTGGAAGTGAATAGGAAAAATAGGATGGAGTAGGCAGCAGTTCTTTATATGCCATTGTATTAGAAAGGTCTCTAAGTCTAGTTCTGAATTTACGCTTTACACAAATGTTGGGGATGCATATTCTAAGTCACTTTGCCAAATGCTAAGTAGCTTTGGTTTTGGTAGATAGCTATCTATAGGTCACATACGCTTACATACCTATATAGGCTCACATATCTAGATATACTTTATTACCCTTTCCAAAGGCTAGTGAAAACCTTAGTGGCCGACACCCCTCTGACTGCAGTGGACTTCATGCCTGATGGAGCCACTTTGGCTATTGGATCTTCCCGTGGGAAAATATATCAGTATGATTTAAGGATGTTGAAATCACCAGTTAAAACCATCAGTGCTCACAAGACATCTGTGCGGTGTATAGCATTTCAGTACTCCACTGCTCTTTCTAAGGTAAGGTATTTCTTTTCATTATTTTTTATTTTATTAAGTAAGTCTAGTTCAGAATATGGAAATCATATTTCGTCCATTAAACACAGTGTAGTTTTACTTTGTAATTATTTTAATATGAAAGCATTTTAAATGACTGGTACAAAGCCATTTGATACTTGGTTTTAAAACTGTTTTTTTGTACTTAATTCTCATATTTCTCTCTTCAAAAAATATCTTAAAAGGCTTTTTGGTTCAGAGGGAAACTCTCAGATCCACCAGCAGGCTTAAGATTTGTAAGGGAAATTATATATATTTTTAACCTAACAGGGAATTGATAAAATATTAATGTATAGTATGGAGCATTAGAAACCTGAGCTTTTAAATATTCCATTGCATTTCAGTCAAGTTTAAATAAAGGCTGTTCAAATAAGCCCACAGCTGTGAACAAACGAGCCATTAATGTGAGCGCTACCAGTGGAGGAGTTCAGAATTCTGGAGTCGTCAGAGAAGCAGCCACCACTCCCATTGGCACGGCTCTACCACAGCCCATGACAACAGCCGGGGGGAAAGGAGCAGTTGCTGTGCAAGACAAAGCAGGTAAATGCTGCTTATGTATCATATGTGGAGTTTCCACCCGGCACCCCACCCCGGTATATATTATTAGTGCTTTCTTCAAGAACCTGGAACTCAAATTCACTTGTGTATTTAGGTAAAATTATTAATAGTGAAAATAGAAGAAGTGACCATTTTAACTTGAGCTATAAATTTTTAAAAAAGTAATGAAAGGCACCTATTCTATTTAGCTGAACTTCTGTTGTAAGACATATTGATTATCTTAAAAACAGAATAATGCCAATCCAGAAATTATCCTTAATACCACTCCAGACTGGATGACTGTCCATTGTGTCTTCAGATGAATCAGTAGAGAATATGATTCTTTGATGCTGTCATTTTGATTTGATCTCTGAGTCACAAAAAAAGCTATTAATGGCTTCTTTTATTTCATATTTCAGAAGGTAAAGTAAGTCAGGTGATGAATGTATTTAAGTGCAGAATAGTGCCTGGCACATATTAAGCAGTATATTAATAGTTTATTAAAGAAAAATAAAAATTTTGCAATTTTTAAATAATTTCTTCTACTCTGAGAATCGTACTGATGAAATGGTTCTTAAAGAATAACTTTAGACTTTGTGAAGGTGTAATATAAGCTTCCCTGTATTTACTGTAGAGAATATTCCTTTTCTCTAAATTCCTGAAAACATTTTTTTTCTTTTAAATTTTAAGAAGTTACACTATACTGTCAACTTGCGACGTATTTTTAAGTCTGCATGGTAGGGGCATCTGGGTGGCTCAGTTGGTTGAGTGTCTGACTCAGTTTTGACTTGGGTAGTGATCTTGGAGTTGTGAGATCAAGCCCCACATGTTGGGCTCTGCGCTCAGTAAGGAGTCAGCTTGGGATTCTCTCTCTCTCTCTCTCTCCCTCTGCCCCTACTCCCACTCTCATGCACTCTCTCTCAAATAAATAAATAAATCTTTAAAAAAATTTTAAAAAGTCTGTATGATATACCACTGTGTTTCCAAACTAGTCTCATTAGAAATGCATGTATCCATGTCTTTTAAGATTTCAGGACAAGTAGTTAACTTGGACAAAAATATTTTTTTTTTTTTTTTGAAAAATTTAATTAATTATTTGACAGAGAGAGACACAGCGAGAGAGGGAACATAAGCAGGGGAGGTGGGAGAGGGAGAAGCAGGCTTCCCGCCGAGCAGGGAGCCCGATGCGGGGCTCGATCCCAGGACCCTGGGATCATGACCTGAGCCGAAGGCAGACGCTTAACGACTGAGCCACCCAGGCGCCCCTGTACAAAAATATTTGTTGTACCTTCTCACCATGAGTTTACAGTTTTCAAGTAGAAGCAAAACTTTAATTTGTTAGCCTTGATAGTATGGAATGGTTTTTAAAAAGATATAATAAGTATATATCTTCATTATAAATTTTCTGTTAATATCTACATCATCCTTACATAAAAGTCATTACATATTATATAGAAAAATAATTTATTTAAGAACTCCCAGAAACAAATATTACTCCTATATACTTAGAAGAAGAAATTCATTTTGAAATAGAACTTTGGGTAATGTTCACCAAGATGTTGAATTAACTATATTATAAAAATTGTCATTATTTTTTTATTATTGATTCTATTCATAATTTCCAAAATTAAACAAAATAAAGTTTCTCTTATTTACTCTGAGCTTTCTGAAGTCTCACTGTTACTCATTTAGTTTTTAATAAGGAAACTCATGTGTAACGATGACAGCATTAATTAGGAAATGCAAGAGTTGGGTCTGCAGGGTCACTGATTAATGATAACTGTTGGCTGATTAGCTAAGTTTCTGACAAAATGAATGTTTTCTCTGTACCCACAGAGTTAGAAACTTTTGTTTATTAATTTTATTTTGAAATAATTGTAAACTTATAGAAACATTTCAAAAATAGTACAAAGAACTCCTGAGCTCTAATATACCCTTTAGCAGATTCAGTTTTATAAATTTTGCCACATTTGCTTCATCATTAGCGCGCGCGCTCTCTCTCTCTCTCTCTCTCTCTAACACACACACACACACACACACACACACACGTACATTTTCCCTACTCTGAAATATTGAGAGTATGTTAGGCGTAAGTCTTGGGTCTGTGACTTCTACCAGCATGACTTTGGGCAGTTTTCTTAACCACTTTGAGTCTTATTTTCTCTTCCATAGATAATATTTAACTTTTAGGGTTATTGTGAAAACCAGAGAAGATGTATCAAAAGTGCCTGGCACATGATAGGCACTTAGTGAATTATGGTTTTGCTAATATTGTCATCACGGTTATCATCATTACTATTATTTTCAACTTCCTGTAAAATGAATCTGAAATTTGAAAAAAGTTCACATTGCTTCTACTAAAGGTGCCAACCACTGCATTCCCACCAACAGTGTAGAGGGTTTCCCCTATCTCCACATCCTTGCCAACACCAGTTGTTTCTTGTGTTGTTGATTTTAGCCATTCTGACAGGTGTGAGATGATATCTCATTATGGTTTTGATTTGCATTTCCCTGATGATGAGTGATATTGAGCATCTTTTCATGTGTCTGCTGGCCATCTGGATGTCTTGTTTGGAGAAATGTCTGTTCATGTCTTCTGCGAATTTTTAAATTAGACTGCATTTTTTGGGTGTTGAGTTTTATTAAGTTCTTTATATATTTTGAATACTAACCCTTTATCAAATATGTCACTTGTAAATATCTTCTCCCATTCTGTAGGTTGCCTTTTAGTTTTGTTGTTTTCCTTTGCTGTGCAGGAGCTTTTTGGTGAAGTCCCAGTAGTTTTTGCTTTTGTTTCCCTTGCCTCAGGAGACGTATCTACAAAGAAGTTGCTATGGCTGATGTCAAAGAGGTTACTGCTTATGTTCTCCTCTAAGATTTTAAGGGTTTCATGTCTCACATTTAGGTCTTTAATCCATTTTGAATTTATTTTTGTGTATGGTATAAGAAAGTGGTCTAGTTTCATTCTTTTGCATGTTCTTGTCCAGTTTTCCCAACACCATTTGTTGAAGAGACTTTTTCCTACTGGATATTCTTTCCTGCTTTGTCAAAGATTAATTGACCATATAGTTGTGGGTTCCGTTCTGGGTTTTCTGTTCCATTGATCTGTGTGTCTATTTTTGTGCTGGTACCATACTGTCTTGATGATTACAGCTTTGTAAGAGAGCTTGAAGTCTGGGATTGCGATACGTCATTTGCTTTTTCTTAAATATAGAAAACAAACTGATGGTTACCAGAGGGGAAGTGAGTGGGGGGGGGATGGGTGAAACAGGTGATGGGGATGAAGGACTGCACTTGTTGTGATGAGCACCTGGTGTTGTATGGAAGTGGTGAATCACTATATTGTACACCTGAAATTATTACACTGTTAACCACCTGGAATGTAAGTAAAAACTTAAGAGAACCTCTGCAGACTTGTTGCTAGTGCTTATTTCAGAGGAAAACAGCAGTTTAAGAAGTAAAAAATGTCTTTAGCACTACTTTCAAATGATACCAAACTTCTTTCTCCTAAAGTTCCAGAGGCTAAAGTTATGCATTCATACATGTTTAAACATCTAGAAGAAGGAGAGAAAATTTATTCTTTATAACAGTTTAACTCTTGGTGTAAACACTTCAATGACAGTGATGTACAAATGTTCAGTAATATTTTAACTTTTTTTTTTTTAAAGATTTATTTATTTATTTGAGAGAGCGAGAATGAGAGAGAGAGAGTACATGAGAGGGGGGAGGGTTAGAGGGAGAAGCAGGCTCCTCGCCGAGCAGGGAGCCCGATGTGGGACTCGATCCAGGGACTCCAGGATCATGACCTGAGCCGAAGGCAGTCGCTTAACCAACTGAGCCACCCAGGCACCCAATATTTTAACTTTTTATCAGGTGTTACTAGAAAAGTTTATTTTATTTGCCAGGTTTGGACCTTTTTGGATATGCTGGCTGTTCTTTGTTTTTATCCCAGCTTTTCAGTTTTCATTTGGGACCAAGATGGCAAATAAAACACTATTTAAAATGTAATACAGGGGGCACCTAGATGGTACAGTCCATTGAGCCTCTGACTCTTTGTTTCGGCTCAGGTCGTTATCTCAGGGTTGTGAGTTCCTGAATTGAAGCCCCATGTCAGGCTCCTTGTTCAGCAGGGAGTCAGCTTAAGATTCTCTCCCTCTCCTTCTGCCCCTCCCTTCTCTCTCTCTCTCTGGAAAAAATAAATTAAATAAATCTTTTTAAAAAATGTAATACAATAACATGCTACCAGTTAAAGTACCAGACTTTCATCACAGCTCTTGAATCTCTAGAACTCATTCTTCAACCCAAAAATGGGCAAGAAGCTACTGAGCCCGCAGAGTTCAGTCTTACAAAGTCCCTGCCCTAATTCCTTGCATTATATACTGGCAGGGAAAATAAACTGCTGCACATCTCTTCATTGTTGTCTACTATGCTGTTCTTTATGAGTTTAGTATTCTGGTTTCTTTCCTCTTAGTAAACTATCCTGAGGCTGGTAAAGTCATTTGAGATCAGTAATACTGAGAGCAGTGTTAAGCTTCCACAGTTAGTGAAGGAAAAGACAGAAGAGGGAAAAAGGAGATCCAGTTACTGCAGTTATGGAAAGGAACTAACATTACTTGAATCCTGCTCTATGTTAGGCATCGTGCTATATGCCTTACAGACTTTTTTAATAATTTGTAGATGTTCATAAAAGTGAGCCCATTATAAGAAGTTGGTTGTGTTCAGTATACTTTGTTTAAGAGGGCAGCAAAGTATATAAATCATTTTGGGAAAATTTCATCAAAATGGCTAAAATAAGGTGGTATCATATGAATAAATAGATTATTTGCTTTTGAGAAGCCCTTCCTTCCATGAAAATCATGGTTAACTGAGCTGTTGTTACATTGTTTTCTTTTCCTGGTGCTCACTGTTGTAATATTACAACAGTGATGTATGTAATATATGCATGATACATTAATTTTTAGAACCTAGCTTCTGACGGTAAATTCATGTATATGTAGTAACAGTTATTTTTATATCTAATTTTCCTATAAGGCTTGCCTCGAAGCATAAACACTGATACTATAACTAAGGAAACGGACAGTGGGAAAAATCAGGATTTCTTCAGCTTTGATGATACCAGAAAAAGTAGTTTAGGTGACATGTTCTCACCTATCAGAGATGGTAAGTCTGTTCAGATCCAAGGATCATGTTCTTTTGCTGGCAGTCATTACATTTTTATTCTAGCTAAAAGATGTGGATAATAGCTTTAGTCTGACTCTTTTCATGACAGTTGCTAATTTTCTCAGTCCCTGGGGTGGTATCTTTTCCTTTGCCCCGATATTTCAGATGTTACCATTCTGAAGTATATGCTTGTCATTTTCACATGGGAACTATGCAAATAGCTCTCAAGTTAGCATTTTAATTTTCACAGAAGTTTCTTAAAGGAAGTTTTGCCTCCATAGGCAGTTTTTTAGTTGTATCTACTTCCAAATAAATCTTAAAATCTTGGATATTTTGATAGGCAAAAAATATCTTCTAACCTAAAAATATTTTGTGTTTTGATTATTAATATCTAATTGGTATATTTATTCATTGTTTTCATAGAGAGATACGGCGGGGGGATAGATTGCCTCATCTTTTACACTAACTATTTGTGAAAGTAACACACACACATACACACTCTCCCTATTGCTAGGAGATGTTGCTACTAAAAAGAAAATAAAAATATAAAAAACTTTACCATTTTGATAAATAGAAACATTATATATCATTGTTCATACTTATGAACTAGTCACATTGTTTGGCTGTGTTTTTTTGATACTGATGTTCATACTGTTTTCATTAATTGGGTAATCTCACTGCTAATAGCAGTATTATTAACAATATGGGTAAATTTCTAGAGCATGATTTGGCAGGTTAAATATTCATACTCTATGGACTGTTAATTCCATTTCTATAAATCTACCTAATAACTTGTTCAGAGAATCCCACAAAGATTTGTATGTACTGTTTTTTTTTTTTTATAATAGTGGAACTCTGGAGCATATCTAAATGTCAACAGTAACAGAATGTTTAAATTGTTACATCCATTCATGATCTTATAAAATTTCATTTTTTACTTTAAATTGTCTGTTTTCCAAATTTTCTACAATTAGTTTCATAATCAGAAAGAATAAACACATATGTGATGGCACAGAATTACTTAGTATATTCTGCCTTATCCTGGCCTGAAAATGACTACTTTAATTGCCAGGTCAGATTTCCCTATCTTCCACCTAATGAAAGAGGAAGGATTCCTTTCTTTCAGGATGAAGAGGGGTCAGACTACATAGTTAAAGAATAAAGAGAGGAAAGATGTGGGCAAAGGAGGGAAAAGTGGCATGAGCTGGAGTTAAGAAAGGTTTTGGAGGTTAGTAACCATCTGGGAGCTTTGGCTTATGAGAACCCCTGGGCTAACTTTTGAATTGGAGAATGTAGGAAGGGGCTTTTTGAAAGTGTTTGAGTTATAAATGAAATTCTCTTTAATGGTTTTTTAAAAGAAATGAATAAAGGATAGAAATTCCTCTTTACTTTTTTAAAATATGATTAGAATTTGAGCTATATGCCCTTCATTTATTAGCATTTCATATTATTAATAAAAGAACATGTATACTAAATATAGGACTGGTTTTCATTGTCAAGAAATTTATGTTTTGATTTCAAGAATGCAACTCTCCTTAGGTAAAAGGCTGAATCTGTTTGCGCTTCAATTTCTTCATCTTTTAAATAAGAATATTTCTGCTTTTGTTAAAACTAATAACTTCTAAAACTGTATGTGTGTGTGTAATTACTAGGTGTATATACACACATGCAGATGTATAGTTGATACTCCTACTATGATAATCATGTATGATAATTCATTGGCCATTTGAATTTCTGACGGATTTTTTTATGACTTGTGCTCATTTTTCTAAATTAATTTGCTAAAATGAAGTTAGGCAATTTTTGGTTGTTAATTGGTAAATGAATAGTATTACAATATTGGAATATTCTTATACATATTCTGCCGTTAAATATTAATAAAATCTTATGTTTTGTATATCATTGTAATGCTCACAAACTATTTTGACGTCGTTTCAATTGATCTTCAAAACAATCTTGTGACATGGTCAGGACGTTATTCCCTTTATATAGATGCAGAAACTGAAGCTTAATTGTATTAAAGTCTTGTTGTTTAAGGCTATTAAGTGGTAGGCAGAATTGGATTATAGATTTCTGGAGCCTACTGCAGTGCTTTTCTAGTATACCTTGCTGTCTCATTAAATGACCCTATACATAGAATTACTCTTCATACGTGTTGCTATGCATGAAGTGAAAAGAATAAAAAGGGAAGTTTATATGAGTCCCAGCTGTAACTTCACTCAGATTTTCCTTTTTAAAATCAAACTCTTTGGGGAATGAATGGGAAGCTTAAGTTGCTATGGCTTCTTTGTCACAATTTTAAAAATTTGATTTTCTAATTTTATTATAGATGCTGTGGTTAACAAGGGAGGTGATGAGTCCATAGGCAAAGATGGTAAGAACTATTGAGAAGTATTTTTAGGAAAATTAAAAGTGATATTGTGCTATCTATTGATATGTAACAAATTACCCCAACATTTTTTTTAAAGATTTATTTATTAATTTGAGAGAGAGAGAGAGAGAGAAAAAGAGGGAAAGAGAATTTCAAGCAGACTCCGCACTGAGCACGGAGCTGGACACAGGGCTTGATCTTACGACTCTGAAATCATGACCTGACTCAAAAGCAAGGGTCAGATGCTTAACCGAATGCACCACCCAGGCACCCCCAAATTACTCCAACAATTTGAAACTTAAAAGAACATTTATCATCTCGTAATTGTGGGTTCAGAATCTGAGCATACCTTAGCTGGTGCCTTTGGCTTAAGGTCTCTCTTGATGCTTTAATCAGGATGTCAGCAGGGCTGCAGGCCTATTAAGGCTTGACTGGGCAAGGATCTACTTCTAAGCTCATTCAGGTGGCTATTAGCAGAAGATGCCCGTCCCTTCCCATGTGGGCCCTTCTGCAGGGCAACTAACAACATGGCAGCTGGCTTCCCTCAGAGTTGGTGAGGAAGATGGTCAGAGATGGCACTCAAAATGGAAGCCACTGCATGTTTGTAACCTAATCTTGGAAGTGACATCCCACCACTTTTGCTGTATTCTCTTTGTTGGAAGCAAGTTACTAGGTCCTGCCCACATTACCTGAGGGCATGAATCCATGCCAGAAGGCAGGGATCATTTGGAGCCAACTTAGAGGCTACCAAGATATACTATATATATATACCAAATTAACAATTTTCAGTTATCAAAAACTAATAATATTGACTAAAACATTCATTGGGCTTTGCAATTTTCAAAGTAGTTTTACATATAATATCTCTTTTTAGTCTCACCACTCGGAGATGGGTATCATTATTCACATTTACTGATCAGGAAACAGAGTTTTGCAATTTTTGCCCAAGATTTTGTATACATCAAGTAAGGGGTAGAGCTGACAAATGAACCTGCCTTCTGAATCCAAATTGCATGTCTTTCTACCATATTAACCTATTTATTGTGTTAAGTGCTTTTCTTAAATATCCAAGATTGAGGAAAATCATATGCAAATAGTTTTTTCTCCTCTTTTTCAGGCCTTGACTTTCTACCACAATTGAATTCAGTCCTTCCTCCAAGAAAAAATCCAGTAGCTTCAAGCACTTCAGTGTTGCATTCTAGTCCTCTGAATGTCTTTATGGGATCTCCAGGGAAAGAAGAAAATGAAAATCATGATCTGACAGCTGAATCTAAGAAAATATATCTGGGAAAACAGGAACCTAAGGACTCCCTCAAACAGGTATCTGCCTAAAAATGATACTGAACTCACAGTGTGCATTTATCAGTAGCAAGCATATAATGAAGCTCATCACGAGACAGAAAGCAGGCGGCTGCCAGGGGATATGTCCTAATTATCGACAGTGCTGTACCCTTACCAGGTAGAAAATATTCTTAAATCTTGATGTCACATGTTAAAAACTAAAGGATACTTTTGAAATCTGTCTTTGGAAATGTTGGAGGTAACAGCAGATGTAAACTTAATGCTGTTTTTTCTAAGACAAGGTACTTGACTAGTTTATACCTGAGTTTTTTAGAATTTATTTCCATTGCAGCAGAAAGCACCAAGTTGATGGTCAAGTCATTTACCCTAAGTCTTAGAGCTAACTGATGGTGCTAAGAATATTTTCGTATTGATTTTTTAGAATGATATTGAAAAGATATTTAGGAAGTACAAAAATGTCTTCTGACATATTTTTCAAATATTTCTGGCTAGTTACCACCTGAGAGTTTGGGGATTTTTTTTTTTTTGGCCTGTGATTACCATTTTCAGTGGCACTCAATAGCAGATGCTTATTAATAAATGAGCTTTTCCTCATCATGTTACCATTGAAATTGTTTTTGATTAGTAAAGTTGATTTATTTTGCCACTAGTTCTTGCAATTTTTTTTCCTTCTATATCCCTTCTTATTTTTCATTTTTCTGATCCTAACTACTGGAAAAAGAAAAGTAGGTACAAATTATATGTATAAAACCAGAATTGATATATTGTTTATTTTAAATGTGAAGTTTGCAAAGTTGATTTCTGGTGCTGAAACTGGAAATCTGAATACCTCTCCGTCATCTAACCAAACAAGAAGTCCTGAGAAATTTGAAAGGCCAGAGAAAGAAATTGAAGCCCAGTTCATATATGAACCCCCCCTCATTGGATCCTCAACTCCAAGTAAGTACATAAAACTTCCTGATATTTGAAGGTGTTAAGTTGAAGACTCCCACTATTTAACTTGATAAATAGAGTGATCATAGACTAAGAAAATTAAAAGGAGTTGAAACTTCACAACGCTTGTCTATTATGACTCTCTTACTAGAGGACAATGACATGTATGTGAATGGTTAAACTCAGTGACATTGATTTGATACTCTTTTGGTGTGAATTTTATTGTCAATCCATTATGTAAGGGTCTTGATCTAATATAAATAGGAATATAATGTAGGACCCTTTGAAAATGAGTCATTAACTACCTGAAATTGTCTTTTTTTTCCCTCCTCCATACTAAAGTTCATGCCACAGATCCTAAAAACTTGATCACGTTTAATGGGATATTGGGTTGTTATACAAGTTATCTATAGAAAACAACTCTTTGTATAGAAGCAACTCTTCTATATAGATATTTATGTTTTACTTTAAGGTTTCTGTGGATATATTGTATTAGTGTAAACTCTGGGGCTTTGCTTATAGCGGTACTTTACTCCTATATTCCTTCTGTTTATTTTTAATAGTCTTGGTTTATCTAGTTTATGGGATAGCATGTCACATTCATCTTTTATAAGAGGAAATGGTTCCAAGATTCTTCAAGATTAATCCCTCTGTCATATGTTATTATATTAGACAGTTGGCAGTTTATATATATAGATAAATGACTATGAGAAATAATGTCATAGAAAGTTTCTAAGATTTGTATTCCAGACAGTAAGTTTTTCTAAATGTCACAGGAACACTGTTCTTTACCAGTTTTTCAAGTCTCCTCATGCCAAATCTTATTTACAAATGTTTGATGTCTCTTAGTCTAAGCTGACTATTAATATTTTCTCCATTTTTTATTTTAGATCCAAAGATAGCAGCATCCTCTGTCACGGCTGGAGTTGCCAGTTCGCTATCGGAAAAAATAGCTGATACCATCGGAAATAATAGGCCAAATGCACCACTGACATCTGTTCAGATCCGTTTTATTCAGAACATGATACAGGAGACATTGGATGACTTTAGGTAGTAACTGAGAAATTGCTCTTTCTGTCTAGACATTAACTGGCTTTTTTTTATTAGGTGTAGAACCGGAACCATAAGTAATATTGGTGGTTACTACTTTTGCCTAGGTTTTGGGGTCCATAAAAACAATAGAAAACATGATGAGTTTTGTCGATCTTGCTGTATTGAATTTATTGAATATCAGCCAGGAAAAGGTACATTTACCTAGGGCAATTATTAGATAACTTGGCAGGGCAGTCTAGCAGGCAGGCTGCCATCAGGGATTTTTTTTATCAAAATTTGGGCAGCAGATTCTGGTAAAGCCCAGTGGTATTCTTACGTGAAGTATTTATAAATCACCTGTTAAATATGCTATGGGTAATAATGTAATAGAGAAATAATTTTTTAAAGGAATTCTGAATATTTTCAAACAGAATGCATCAGAATGTAATAGTCAATTAAAAAAAATTTTTTCATGGATCTGTCCTTGTCTCCTCATCCTTTGAATTTTGAACACTGTAGGAATGTGTTTGACATTGTTGCTTCCTTTTACCTATCATCTCAATATATATTGGAGCTATTTTCAATTATTAGAATCTTTTGTATGTGTTTTTTCCCTTTCTGACCTGTAGTTACTTAGTATTCTAGCTCTGATTTGGAATATAGCGAGCAAGAATGCTAGAGAAGATGTACAGTTTTTGTTGGTACAGGTTTTTTTGTTGTTGTTTTGTTTTGTTAAGATTTATTTATTTTAGAGAGAGCACGAGCGGGAGGGGCAGAGGAGCCTGACACGGGGCTCAATTTCACAATCCTGAGATCAAGACCTGAGGCGAGATCAAGAGTCAGACACTACCCAACTCTGCCACCCAGGTGCCCTGGTGCATGTTTCTTTTTAATGTTAAAAGTGTTTTGGGGGGTGCTCCTGGATGGCGCAGTCGGTTGAGCATCTGACTCTTGATCTCAGCTCAGGTCTTGATCTCAGAGTCATGAGTTCAAGCCCCACATTGAGCTCGATGCTGGAGGTGGAGCCTACTTTAAAAAAAAAAAGTGTTTTGAAAAAATATTTTAAAATGTTAACAAATATATTTTTAAAGGAAAATCATCATTTTTGGTTATTTTTGACATTTACAACATGCCTAGTATATGTACTGGGTACTAAGGATGCAAATAAGCACTCAATGAAGGCCTGTGGCAAATAGTTGGTGAATGAATGGAGATTTTCTTTGTGGCTCGGACTCCTTGGGTCCAGTCCTACTTGGCCTACAAAAATCTATAAAAATTTCAGTTAGTTCTCCTTACCCTATCAATGGCAGCTGTGTCAACCCTACCTCTCCAGCCCCCCACCCCCCCTTCACCACCACCACCCGCCCTCTGCTCTGTTGAGGATGAAAACAGTCATGGGTATGGGGATTAACATAAGAATAAAAAAAAAAGAAAAAAGAAAACAGTCATGGGTCTCTTCTCCTAGGAGGGACTCATCATTTTCTGGATTTTCATTCATTTAGGTTTCTTTGCACTCTCAAGTTGAATTTAAAAATGTATGATTTTATAGGTTATCTGGCTTGTCCTCACTATTAGAGTTGGAGAGATTATATCCTAAGCAGAAGTCTATGGGTCTATTTTTACTGTCTTTCAAGAAGATTTAAGTTTCTTCTGGCAAGCAGATCACTTCGTTCCTATACTTGCTGGCTTTCCGGTTTTCTTAGGGCTAGTTTATTTCTGGTTGCCTTTATTCTAGGGTTTAGTCTCTGCCCTTCGAGGATATTCACCAGGCCTTTTTACCTTGGGGGTTCTGAAACTTTAACCTCCATTTCCCCAGCATCGCAAGGCCGCCAAAGTCTTTCTCTGCTCTAGCTGTGACTTTATGTTTAATCTTCTGCCACCAGTGCAGGCAGTGCTTAGGAGTCAATAGATATCTCGAGGGGGAAATGGCACAGTTTTAGGTTTACTTTTCTGCAGGTACCTTCTTGGCACCTTGAAGCCTTGGCTGCTTGGGCTGTCCAAAACCCTAGCACTCCCCAACCCGGTGAGACTCTCTCAAGCTCCAGGTCACTGCTTTCAGCTCAGCCTCTGTTCCCCTCTGTCCAATCAGCACATCCCCAAGGGAAAACAGAGGTAACTGTGGGGCTTACCTAGCAGACTTCCCTTCTTTGCAAGACCATAGCCCCTCAAATCCTGACCACCTTAGTGGTTCTCTGATGCTTTCGGTGTGTTTTATTTATTTATTTATTTTTAAGATTTTATTTATTTATTTGTCAGAGAGAGAGAGAGAGCGAGTACAGGCAGGGGGAGAGGAAGAGGGAGAAGCAGGCTCCCCACCGAGCAGAGAGCCCGATGCAGGACTCGGTCCCAGGACCCCGGGATCATGACCTGAACTGAAGGCAGAGGCTTAACCGACTGAGCCACCCAGGCGTCCCTGTTTTAATTTTTTTAAAGATTTATTTATTTGAGAGAGAGAGCACGAGCAGTGGGGAGAGGCAGAGAGAGAGGGAGAAGCAAACTCCCCACTCAGTGGGGAGCTCAGCTTGCTACTCCATCCCAGGACCCTGAGATCATGACCTGAGCCGAAGACAGCTCCTTAACCGACTGAGCCACCCAGGCGCCCCCAGTTTGTTTGTTTTAAAT